AACGAACTGCTGATATATTTTATTGTTATTTACCTATCAATTAACATAAAGTGTTGCGATACATTTTAAATTTATTTTATTTGCTTTTCGCTAGATGCGATTACTTTTTATTATTATGAGCTAACTAATACATTTATGAGAAAATCTTAATAGCCCGTAGAATGCTTTAACGGAAGTGGTTTTAAGGAAATCAAGAAATTGTTTAAGTTTTAGGACACTCCACAGATTTAAAATAAAAAAAAAACATTTTTAAAAACAAGTTTTATTTAAATTCTATATAAAGAAAAAATAGACTTCAAATTAAATCAAACCAATTAATTTATTACATTACACAATTTATATCATACTTACAGTACACGCGGCTTCGCCCTCGTCCAAACTATATATCCTAATATATATAATTCTTCTGTATGTTGTTTGTTAACCTACTCCTCCTAAAGGGCTAGACCGATTTGGATAAAATTTTGTGTGTATATTTTAATGGGCTCTTGGATGGTTTGAAAACACAATTGAACCCGGTAGGTGGCGCTGCAGTCGTTGTACCACTGATCATCTCCTAAACGCCAGGAACGATTTTAATGATATCTTTTGTGTATGTTCGAATAGGTCCCTGCAGGGTTTGAATTCATGAATGGATCCGGTAGGTGGCGCTGAAGTCGGTGTGTCACTAAATTTTCATAAAAGACTCCGTTTTCCGAGCAATAAATAAATTTAATTTTTAATTAAATAAAATAAAACTCGATGTGTCTATGTATGTTTCCTATGGACTCCAAAACAGATGAAGCGATTTTGATGAAATTTTCAGGTAATCTTCACATTAGCCCAGCGGGTGATGTTCTGCTAGTTATAATGTACTTTATAAGGCATTTATTTTACTCTTATCTTAATGATATACTAATTTAAATAATTGATTATTTACCGCTAAAGCTGTCATCGACTAAAATAAACTTTTTCAAAAAGATAATTATATGAAATTACTTAATTAAAGGTATTTAAAAAAAAGTACACTCATTTACTTCAATAATTCAAATATTACTTCTTAATTAATATGTGAATTGGAGTTGAGCGTTGATTTAGTACGAAAGTTGAAATCTTTATCCGTACCTATTCGCAAATCTTGCCCTATAATAGTCTGTATCCGTATTCACAGATATATGTGTATTTTTTACGATCCAGCACATTCTATTTAAATTTCATTTTTTTATATGATTACAATAACAAAAGTTTTACTTCTAGCTGTTACGGTGATATAGAAACAACATATAAAATTTTAATTAATCTCACTAAAATGGATAAATTAATATAGTATACGCAAAAACACATAGCATTGAGATGAAGACCCGTCTGATATCTACTGGACCAGAATTGTATACACAAGACGCTATGTAAATAAATACATTATTAATTACATTGCAATGCAAATGCAAAATACCTGTTTATTTGTTTATATAGGTATTTTGTTTAACTTCTTCCATGTAATTAAAATTGCACTAATTAAGCTTAAGAAATTGCTCATTAAAACAAAAGGATACACTTAAACACTTTATGTTACCTTTACCTAAAACTTCATGTTATCTCAACATAATTACACTTTAAATAATTATTACACTTTCTGCAAAAAAAAAAATTCTATATGGGCAATTTCGTGTCTTGTGGCCTGGAAAATGAAATTGCTTTTAAAACTAGAAATAGTTCTTTGATAGATTCTATACTGTGACTACTTCATAAGTAAATATGAATGATTTATGTAATAAAATAGTAGTAAGATTAACTAAAAATCTAGCTACATCTTTGCCTTCTGGACTTAGTAAGTCAAAGTAAAGTAGTTCACATTGTTATCCTGGTTAACATAACAATAACCTTTTCAATGAAGCCCTTTAAGTATTTAGTGTGGATGGACCAATTCCTATCAAATAGTCTGTCTGTCTCTCACCGTTGCACCATCTGTTATTTGGTCTACCCACGCCAAATTTTTCAAGCCTGAAGAATTAACTTGTCTAATTGTGGGGCGTTTGCCCCTGCTGTCCATTCGACAAGAACTTTTCTTCCCTTTGCCTTGTTGAGGTGTGTTAAGATTCTGGAAATGAAAAAGGCCTGAAACGGGGGTATCGCCTTCTCCATTTTACGCGACATTGGCGAAGTAAATGGTGCCCATACGGCACTCCTAGAAACTATTGAACATAAGAATTGAATTGAATTAAGCCTAATTAATAGACTTTATTGGAGTTAGGGATGTTTTTTATCTGTATTTTCGATAGTTTTGGCAGATGAGAGAGCTTCTTTATCTAAATAATGTGTGCTTTTGAAGACACATAGGTAGTTTTTCAATTACAGCACTAAAACGCATAATGCTCAACTTCGAATTTTTCAACTACAGCAACGCTCCGCACAATCGAGCACTTTGAAAAGAACTGCTTTGGCGTGTTGCGCGCAATACCAACTCAGTAGCAGAAATTATAAGAAGTGTTTTATCACGTTGTTAGTGTTTGTGCGCCAAAGTGCGGCATTATACTATGTAATTGGAAAACAGGGATAAAATATTACTTAAGGAATTTCTTTTATTTTGTGATTTTTCACTTGACAAATAGAAAACATAGAAATAATATTACTGTGAAAGAAAATGTATTCCTAGTTAATTATTCATTAATGCTGTGGATTGAAGATTTGAGTTTCAGTAAAGGCATTAGTTTACAATTAGATGGACAAGAACATCTGTATGTTTTTTAATAAGTAATTTTGTTTGGGGTCATGTCTGATCATGTTTAATGTAGCAATAAGATGTTACAAGGAAGACCTCAAACACGGAATATCACACTCATCAAATGGCAAATATAAACATTTAGGTCAGCTACATACGAGAATCGAATTTGCTGCTTTCGGTGGGTATATCAGAGCATCGTAGACACAGTGCCACTGCGCATACGTCGTTTTGCGCATATTTCAATTACATATATATTTATGACAGCCAGACAAAGTTAAAATATAAAGTTCGTAAAGTTAAAATAAAAGTAAAATCAATTTTCCATTATTTATTCATTATCTCTTGGTAACTTTCTTTCCTTTTACATTTTCGTCCGTCTAATATATTTGGCACAAAATTTGGCGTAAAGATTCTACATAATACAATACTGATCTCTCTTTTATACATATCGGCATTCACTTTGAATAGATAGAATGGATGTAAACAATTTGTATCATATATTTATTTATAATAAATATTTTTCAAATGATCATGGTACCTGTACTTTAGACAGTTTCTTTCTTAATAGATTAAACTAGATTTTATTATAGAGCATCCCTAAAACAATAATTATAAAAGATATAGTTTATTAGCCGCATTCATTTAAGGGATGTGCGAACAAACAAATTAACATAGATAATGTTATAATAATAAAAAAATACAAACTGATCAATGCTCAAACTATATGAATTGTCAGGACGATAAGAAAATATTTGAGGTACAGCTCTAAGATCTGTTCATTGTTTTTTAATAAAACTGTTTACATCCATTACATAATATCTATATGACTAGATAAATATTAATCCCGCATACAAGACACAAAGTACGTAAATAAATGCACTCAAACTCGAGTTCGAGTACTGTGGAATAAGATATCAATTTGGCAGTATATTTTAGTAATAGAAGGAATGATTATAAAATATATTGAATTTTGTTTGCGGGTTTAAATATTAGCTGTGATGTGTTCACTTTTAATACAATTGTACGGTGAAAGATTTAAGTAAACACCTTATGACTAAAAGCCAATTTATTTGAAATATCAAAATGCACTGGGAAAAGTCGTTTGTAGGACATGTGACGATATTTTTGAAGATCAGGCGGTTATTTCTAGTGCACTGATATTTCAATAATAATAAATAAATATATCTTTATAATAAATAACATCATGCCACATAATCGTTACCGTTATATGGTTACAACAACCTTTTACTTTTACGATATCCTCTACTAATAAACACAACAGCGTTCCAACAATATATTTGCTAACACGACCAATTAGTCACAATTATGCCTCTCCTACCTACTCTAATTCATTTTGGAATCGTCGAAATTCATTTAAAATAATCCAAAACTCAATTTTCAAATTTTACAATTTATATTTCAATCTTTTAATTTTACAATTTATATTTTACAATTTTTAAAACTTCAGTCACTTTCGACAACGTACTTACTACATTGAACAGGTATCGTTTTAAATTAAGGAACTCAGCAGTATTTATATCTATTATATCGTTGCTGCTTATTGAATATTACAATATAACTACGAGTATGTGTTTTTGTTAAATTTTTCTAGATTTTAACGTAAAATGTCTTTTGGCGCGCAAAAGGTAAGTACGTCTACATGACCAAATTGACCACCGACATCCCATATGATTCAGTACCAATCTATATACGCCTTAGTATTTACTCCAATTATTATGATTACTAATTCTAGATTACTTATTAGTTCCTTTAATTATTGCTTTATTTTCCATTTTGGTCTCAAATCCTTGCAAGTGAGAATTGGTGTAAAAGATAAACGATGTGCCATCTGTGTGCTTATTCGAAATATTAGCTAGAGTAGAAAAAAACGAAGCGGTCTCGACAAACAGTTACTACGAGCAGCGAAACTACTAGTAAAAATACATCTAAAAGTTGAACACTATTTATTCTAACGGGATAGCCGTTCGACTTCAATAAGGCTTTCGATAGGATTCATCCTGAGATCACATTCTTAAATTAAGTACTATTTATTGCATATTTAGAATTGCACTGTACCGAGTACGATTAAACGAGTCTCTGTCACTCCGCGTATCATATAATATATCAGTCCGGGCGTGGTGTGCCTCAGGGGGGCAGACTTGGCCTGTTTTAATTTCTCTTAAACACGAACAAAGAGAATGTTCCCTTTGTCGTTCAGCGCGTTTCAGACGGGCGGGTCCATGTCGCGCTGCAAAGACGTCAGTCACGTGTGAAAAACCCACCCTGGGATCGGAGGTCACGCGTCCGGAACTCCGTGAATGTGATGTTGATAGTTGTGGTTCAGCTTGTTGGCGAACTCGTGCATTATATCCCTGAATATGACCGAGTCCAGGTTTTCACCGAGTATGTAGAGAAGATACCAATCACCCATTTTGCTTCTTCTGACGATAGTATCAACGTTATCTCTTCGAACAAGTCTGAAGCGCATTCGCATCATATAAACGCGCATTCTTGGGGAGAATATGATAACAATTCGATATATGAGGGTAATGAAAGTGAGGAAACCAAGTATGACGAACCAAAACCAGAGGAAAACGTATATCTTTTCGTTGACAACGTTGAGCGGTAAGATGCACAGGGCATCGTGTCGCTCGACCTCGCCGGAGGACCCGAACTTGTTGAACAGTGTGCATTTGACCATCCTGGAAATTAAATAAATTTCTTAAGCTTATAGATGATAGAATGCAAATAGTCCGCTATAAGTTTATAATTTTACATATCCATATAATTACTTAATAAGCAATGTTTACTTTTGTTAAAAATATTACATATATGCCATTATTATTTAAGGCGGAGGTCAAAAAGTGAAATGTGACATTATACTTTTTTAGACTTTCGCGAATATTAGTCACTTAAATAAAACTATCTTTTCTGAGTTTTTCGCCAATTTAGATTGTTACATTAATATTATGGATAGTATTAAAATTAACTAAATCAGTCCAAGGATCTTAATTATATCAATATTTTATTATTATATAGAATTGATTTCGTCGACAACATTATAATTACGACACAGTTCTCGCTTTTGAATATTGTGCACTTAAATTAGTAACAAATAGATCGAAAAAAAGCGCTTTGGATTTTATTCATATTTAATTTAATTTTGGAAACAAATTCTAGTCAAACTCTAAATCTATTACAATTTACAATAATTACATTACTATGTTTTAAAATTATTGGGTTTCAAAAATGACTAAACCTTCAAATTGCTTAGCGAAACCACTGTAGTAATAAATACTTTTAACATATATATATATCTATATGTATATATATATGTATATATATATCATTTTATGTATACCATTATTAAATAGTAGTCCATGGGAGAATTATGCACGAATATGTCACTCCTCCAAACCAAAAATGAGATAAATTACCTTGGGAAAATATAGATCATGGGGTCGATGCGGTCCTCCTGGTCTGACTCCATGTACGCGATCACATCCAGACCGAACGTCATGAACTCGCCGTCGAAGAAGCGGTTCATTAAAAACATTTGCCCTGTGAAAAAAACGTTCCTTTAGTAAAGTGTACAATTCACAATTAAGTCATAAATCTAATGTATCTATATGATAATATATTAAACAAGGTTGGTTTAGTTACACCATTTATAATTCAAAAACGGCTGAACCGATTTTTAAGATCTTTGATATCTTGGATTTGTCTTCGTCCCAAATAGCAGAATAACTATTAAAGCATCGGAAAAAATCACGAAAATAAATTAAATTTACATCGCTTATAAGTCTCAATATTGTATAATTTTAAATTATTTCATTTATTTGTTTTGAGTTTTTGTACTTCTAAAAAGAAAATTCTGCATTACAGATATTCTTAATCCTAAATATATTTAAAAAAAATTAAATGATATTGCGCTCTAAGTCATATTGTATGTAGGTCGAAACAGATTAAAAATAAAAGGTGTTCTGGACGCGTAAGTTATTATTCTGTACGTATCCATGTGCCTACACTTCCGCGCGTTTCCAATAACAAAAACAGTTCCCTTCGGTGATCCCAAATTTGCTGGCCATGCTTTCTTTTGTCGGCTGCGGCCATGAACGCAGCGGTTATTAGTTTTATAGATAAATAAATAAATAAATATGTTGGGACATTAACACACAGCACCATCTAGTTCCATGGTAAGCTACGAGGCTTGTGTTATGGATTATTTATTTATTATTTATAATAAAACCGTAAAATTTAAGTCAAAGCCAATGAAATAAAAAAAATAGCCATCAAAGTTTATTACATATAGGTATTCTAAAAAGCGTGCCAAAGAAACGATATGAAAATTATTATGTATCTTCTCTAAACTCCATTGTGTTCGTGGACATGACTTGTACAGTTATTACTGATTACAGTATATTAGTGGATATTAATCCATACTAATATTATAAATGTGAAAATGTGTTTGTTTGTTTGTCCTTCTTTCACGTCGAAATGGAGTGACAGATTGGCGTGATTTTTTGTGTGGAGATAGTTGGAGGGCTGAAGAGTGACATAGGCTACTTTTTACCATAGGAAATGATCTAATTCCCACGGGAAACACGTTATAATACGATCAAAAAAATATTATGATTAGAATTACTCGAAACTTCGTATTAATGTTCTTCAATAAAATTAAATAAATACGTGTTTTAGCATTTTGCCAAATTCATCCTATAAGAGGGTAAAATAGGGGAATGAAAGTTTGTGTGAAACAATGTTTTTAGAGATTTTTGTAGTTTTAGCGCGAACAAAGCCGCGGGTTCTGCTAGTGTAGTAATAAAATTGAAATGTGCATTTGTTTTGTATATATAATCAAATATATTTGTAACATCACTTTTAATTAAATAAACTTTAAAATATATCTACTTTAATAAAGATATTTGTTTAATAAAAAATATCATTAACATAAGAACAAAACTTACAACAAAGCTAAGTTTGCTTAACGTACGCATAAGCAAATCTGAAACTATAGACCGTACGTAAATGCGGGAGCGGTGTATGTAAAACCAAAAAAGCAACCCAGTGAAAATTCTGAATAAAATGCTTTGGTTTATTTTGCGATGTATTTTCGAAGGCAACTTTATATTTTTTCTTTTATATTTTAAACAACCGGCCTGTTTCATGGCCAATTGTTTTCAACAAACTGAAATATGAAGCCATCTGTCGCGTATCTGCCCTGAATCGCCAACTAGCGGCAGTTTGTAAATCTTATATCGTATTAAATAAGCACGTGAAGTTTACACAATAAACTTTTTGTTTATACATATAATAAAATTGTAACTAAGCCGAATCTGTACATTAAATATTTTTTGGAAAATCTTATTGAAATAAACATTATTATCGATACAGAGGCCGAATCTATAGTTTTTAGAATTTTTGTTTGTCTGTCTGTTATCGCAATACAGAAAAACCACAGGAGGGATTTTAATGAAATTTGGTATGGTGGTAGCTGGTTATCCGGGTCAATATATAGGATACTTTTTACTGCAGGAAAATATATCATTTCTGAGAAAAAATACAAAAACTGCAATGTAAGTGTATACTAATATGTAAAACCTAAGAATTTGGTTTTCGGTCATCTGAACGCGGGCGGAGCCGCGGACAATGCTAGTATATAATATCACGATGATATGGCAGTGGTAAAAGGCAAAAACGTAGATTGCATCCTTGGATTATCTGGTATCTATAACACGAGCCTCGTAGCTTACCATGGAACGAGATGGTGCTGTGTGTAATGTCCCAACATATTTATATTTATTTATTTATTACTCTTTCACAGAAGAATAGGTGGACGTGATTTTTTCGATATACTCGTAGTCTATGGCCAGACCCATAACATAAGCATAGACTACTACTAACATTGGTTCGTTAGTTTCATATGGTAAATTAGTTTATTGCAAAGAGCCACTTATAGCGCGCGGGGTGGCCTGCGATAAGTGAAAACAGATTGCTAGTACGTTATAAGCTTTATATATACATTTTTTTATGTATAAGGAAAATTGTGACGTTATTTTGTCCATCTGATAGCAAAAATACATTCCATCTGACTAAGTACTAAGTCGAAATCTAGTGATTTTTCAATTTTTTTGGACTAATTATAGATGATGTTGAGAGAGTTATGGCACGAAAGTTATTAATGCTATATAAATAGCTAAGCAATTATATGCAGAGTCTTTGTGATGAGAATTGCTGGTTTACAGTATAATGGAATGAAGTAACATTGAATAAGATTTACTATTAAAGTACATGTTTTACATAAATATTTAACACACCCTTTCTTAAAATATTATTAGACATAGATAGATATATTCAAATTCAATTCAATTTCATATTCAAAATCTTTATTTCAGCATTAAATTATTACAATTTTTTACTGAACGTCATGAGTCTACTACCAGTTTGAAAAGAAGAAGCCTCAGACCTGAGAAGAACTGGCGAAAGAAACTCAGCGGGACTAATATTAAGTTATCTTTTTATTGTACCTATAAAATTTTTCAATTTTTTTTGTGTTTGTTTATAATAACTGATGTATTAACGCTACTATTATTTAATTAAAAAAACGTACGTGTGTACTTATGTACGCACGTAAGAAGTTATACTTCTGTGACGTAACAGAACAAAAATAGCTAAAGATTTCATTCCGTATGTCACAACTTTCTTTTTGTAATACGAATGCAGCTAACTTCATGATGTCGCTTTTTAGCTGTAGGTGTGCGCGAACATCATAAAAATTTTACTCTCACATTTTTTTCCAAACGTGCCAAAAGAAGTATAACTTCAAAAGTTGATGGCGAGATGAATAAAATATTACAATATCTTACCTATAACGTTAATAAGGGCCAGCCCTTCGCAGAGGTAGTATCGATAGGCCCACCAGTTGTGATATCGCAAATTTTCCCACAGGTAGTCCAATATTAGCTTCTTCTTGGTTTTCTTCTCAATTTCGGTGCAAACTCCTACGTCCAGGTCCATCATTAGAGCCCGGATCTTCCCACCTTCCCAAGACTTCCAAAGCCAACGCGGAGCGTAAAATAGCATTGCCTGATGACAAAATATTAATAATTAGAACTTTAAGTTATATTGCTAGTGACATACTTTCGCTTCGCTCGGTTGTATACCTATGTTGCTTTTGTGGTATTTTTAAGTGCTTATTTATTCTATATATATGTACTAAATTTAATTCAAATCCGTCCAGCCGTTTTTGCAGGAAAGACCCACAAACATACACCACACACAAATAATAGAAGACAATATAAAAATATTATTTATAGTGGCTAAAAGCCTAATGTTTGTTTATCTGTTCTAGTCTGTAGTCCGTTTTTACTTAAAATTAAGTCTGTCTTGGAATACATCACGAGAAAACCACTGGACAGATTTTGATGAAATTAGATATGATGATAGCTGGTTATGCCGGTCAACATATAGGATAGTTTTTACTGCGGGAAAATATCTCATATCTCTCTGAGAAATCTATACTAAGCGTAACTATATACTAACCCAAGCAGAGCGAGGGTGAGTCGATAGTATATAATAAACATGACATTCAAAATAGAGTTAATGGATTTATTTGGCTAGACAGAATCGTGAAAGGTTTATAGAAACGAAGTATCGCGTAGCTTTAACAGGTAGGTACGTTAGAGGTATGTCTATCGCTTCAAAATTGTTAAAATTCACTACAATTCTGTAAAATACTATTGTTCATTATTTTATTTTAAATCTATATTTTTTTTAGATTATCAGCACAATAATATAGTTTTTTTATTTAACAGATAAAATATTATAATTTACCCAACAAAGGAGGAGTAATGTAATCATATTTCAGTAATCTATGTATGTATGTTCATCTGTTCCCACATATCTTCTAAACTACCTATCATAATTTGACAATTGAAGTGTACTGACTAGTACCGTCTTGAGCGTCCGTAGGTATAGGATATGTGAAGTTACATTTAATTCAATATGGAGCCCTCTCAAGGACATACAGTTTTTATAGCAAACCAAATATATTTTAGAGTGTGATTTTATCCGTAGTCGAATGGTTAGTCTTTAAACTTATATCTCGCTGTAACACTATCTACAAAATTGATTGTAATATAAGTCATATTTGTTGCATTTAAATAGCAACAAATATGACTCAAACAATTTTAAACAAATTAATTATTTAAACAAATTTATTTTAAACAAATTAAATTAATTTTAAAACAATTTTAACTACATATTTCTAACGTCAAAACATTAATTTATACTTAAAACAAGTATCAAAGAGTGATAATAGTAATAAAACTCATTTTGGCCTTTACCAAAAGGAGCTGTCAAAGCCAACTCAGGCTGTATAAACTTTTATAGCAACCATTACCCTACTAGTTGAGTTAGTTCCATACATATTGTATCAACAGGTGATCGACATGCTCCAACGGCCACGCAATGATGTGGAACGATAAGAAAACGCTGTGTTAGAACTTAGAATGTCTTATACCGGGCCCTCAAATGTGGGATAGTTAGTAGTTCGTTAATTATCAACTTTGCTTTTTTTATTTATTAATCAATTTTTGCCTGAAGCTCCGCTCGTTTGGTATGTTTTGATAAAAGCAGCCTATGTGCTTTTATGTTTCATAATAAATCTATACATATAATAAAATTGTAACTAAGCCGAATCTGGACATTCAATATTTTTCGGAAAATCTTATTGAAATACACATTATTATACAGGGGCCGAATCCTTTTAGCTTTTAGAATTTTTGTCTGTTTGTCTGTCTGTGACCGCATCACGGAAAAACCACTGGAGAGATTCTGATAAAATTTGCTATGACGATAGCTGGTTATTCGGGCCAACATATAGGACTTTTTATTGCAGGAAAATATCTCATCTCTGAGAAATCTATACTAAACTTTAAAACGTAACAAGGACGAACCCGAGCGGAGCGTTGGTGAGTCGCTAGTATAGTATAAATGAATTATTGTCACAGATTTCCAAAGCTACTACGAATTATGTTCTGTGCACAGAACAGATAACTCAAAATGTATTTAGACTACAGTCTACCGAACCCATTGACATGAAGCTTAGCTATACTTATAAAAGTAGGTCTGTCGAGGTATCTACAGCTTTTGCGATTTGTAGAATGAAATAAATATGAATAATCGACCTATTTAAAAGAGCAACATAAAATTCATTAAAATTTGTTCACAATCCAACTCACGTTTGACTCAGTTTGTAGAGGTCCTACTTGCTGAGCCAGCAGTCCCGGGTTTGAGTCCCGCTGGGGGCATTCATTTGTGTGATGAGCACGAATGTTTGTACTCCAGTCATAAATGTTCATAATATGTATGTATTTAAAGTTATATATCTGTGTAGTGTATCAACTATCTGGTATCCATAACACACGCCTCGTAGCTTACCATGGAACTAGATGGTGCTGTGTGTTTATGTCCCAGCATATTTATTTATTTTAATTTAAAATAACCTAACACCGATGAAGATTATTTGTGTAAAAGTTACTTAAAAAGTAGCAAAATTAAGGAGAATACCTAATAATACATAGTATAGTTAGTGCGCGTGACTTTTCATGGTCAAACGGTCGTCAGTAATACCAATGAAATATCGCCACAGTTATTACCAGCTCTGATTTATTGTGACTTGGAACATTTGACGGGTCTCAAATAAACGATGTATTACAGCTAAATTAATTTACATAATGTTTATACGACTTCTGTTTATGAAAATTGGATGATCAACCGACTTCCTCAAAAAGGAGGAGGTTCTCTATTCGGCTGTATTTTTTTATGTTTGTTACCTCAGAACTCCGTCATTTATTAACCGATTTGGAAAATTTTTGTTTTGTTTGAAAGTGTATACTTCCAGATTGGTCCCATTTAAATTTAAAAAAAAATCAACAACACCAGGCCAGCCAATACAAAGCAAAGCACACCGACTTCGAAAATATTTGATTAGGTATGCATAGTAAATAAAAACTACCAATTAGTTATTTTTTAATTTTTAGTGCTTTTGTTTGAAGTTGGTTTTAATTTTTTTGTTTAAAGGTTTTTTTTTCATTCTGATTTCAAGTTTAGGAGTAATATCTTTAAATGAGGTAAAATATTACATATACAAGTAATGTCTGACAGGTGGAGTAATGTATTTAAGGACTAATCCGCACTATAGTGCTGACTACGGTTTTTTCTCGGTCTGATATCGGTCTGGTATTCGTCAGCCCTTCTTTAACCCCGACACAAAAACGAGTAACGTCGGGGTGTTATGAGTTTGACGTGTCTACGTGTGTGTGTGAGTGTCTGTGGGTGGCCTCGTAGTTCCCGAACGGATGAACCGATTTTGAATTTTTTTTGTTTGAATTGACTTAGTCGGGAGTGTTCTTAGCTATGTTTGATGAAAATAGGTTCAAGATGGTGGCGATTTTTTAAATTTTTTATTTAATTTAGTTATTAACATCTCACTAACGATTCCAAAGAGCTTGCAGAGTTCTATGTTTGAGCTTCAAACAATTGCTATAATATTTTTTTCAATAAATCATTAATATATTTACTGTTTTATTACATTCTTCGTAAATTTCTAAGAAATTAATTAAATTAAGAAATCTATTGTGAATTGTAACGTCGGCGTGTCCGCGGTCGTTGAGGGAATAAATTCGTAAAACACTTAAATTCCAGAACTAACAAAATAATTGAAAACGGAATCTTCTTCAGGAATCTGCAAGATTGCACTTTTAACTTTTCCTATGACAGAAACTATAATAGCAGTCTATAGATCAAAGGATTGTAACACAGAATGTGTGGCTTCCGACTTTTAGAGTTATGACCACGACATATGATTTCGATATCAGAATTAGATATTAATGATGAATTATTATTTATTATATTATATATCCCGTTATTCCCTCCACGACCGCGGACACGCCGGCGTTACAGTTAACAATAGATTTCTTAGAAATTTACCTGGAGGTGTTAATCCCGTTATTAATTAATATTATAAATGCAAAAGTTTAAATTTAGCACAGAGATAGATTATAGCCTGGAATAGCACATAAGTTATTTTTAATCCCGGAAAAATGTAACATAACAATTATTAACATAAATATGTGAAGTATACAAGATAATCTCTAAAGCTACAGAATCGATTGTAAATATAGATACACTTACCTACTCATACAATTTTACATTTATGTTATAATATAATATGTAAAATACAGAGTATTGAAAAGCAGCAGTAATTTTCATATAAGAATAATAATATTATATGCAAATTTTGTTTCAAAAGTTAAAACAAAAATAAAAGCGGTCTGTAGATGTACATACATACATATGTATGTAAATGTACATATATCAGTTCGTTTGTTTTTACGCATATCGTTCGTTTCGTACGTTCTTTTATTTATTCTGTGTATTGTAAAATATAGAAATATTGAAAAGTTTTAAAAGAAATGCCTAGTAATATTTCAATGCGAGCCGATATTGTGTCAGGATGAGTGAGGGTGCGTGAAAAATGTGTGTACTCGATAAAAACCTCCCCTCTAGTGTCATTGTAAAAAAGCATAACGTCGACAAATCTTGTACTCTACATATTTGAAAAATCTATTGTATTTTATATTTGAGAAATAACATAATGATATCAAAATTCCTTATATGTGTTAAGGTAAAACCTAACATATACCAAACTCTGATGGTAAAAGCCTGAAACGTCGTGTCTGTGTGTGTCTGGAAACGTATCACAAGAAAACTACTGGACAGATTTTGATCAAATTTGGTATGATGATAGCTGGTTATTCGCGTCAACCTATAGGATACTTTTTACTGCGGGAAAATTTTTCAGCTGTGAAAAACCATTAAAACGTAGGGACGGATTCGAGCGAGGGTGAGTCACTAGTTCTAAATATAAGTAATGAATTGTTAAATACATATATATATATATATATATATATATATATATATAATATAAATATTTATATATATTTATATATATAGTAGATAAGTCCTTTATAGAAAATACTATTTGGTTGTTTTCTCTCCTCTCATTCATGAATCAATACTAT